CTTGGCCGACTGCTTCAAAGTAATGTTAAGGTACAACCTCCGGCTGAACCCTAAGAAATGCGCGTTCGCCGTGCAATGTGGAAAGTTCCTGGGCTACATGGTCACCAGGCGAGGTATCGAGCCTAACCCTGAGAAAGTACAGGTCATCGTCGACATGCAGCCTCCCAGCACTATAAAAGACCTGCAACGGTTGACCGGCCGATTGGCCGCCCTTAACCGCTTCCTAAGCAAGGCGGCAGATAAGACTGTGCCTTTCTTCGAAGCCATGAAGAAGAAGGAAGGATTCGCTTGGACCCCGGAGTGCCAGCAGTCGTTTGAAGAATTGAAACAATACCTCTCGACACCCCCGGTATTGTCTACCCCCCAGGCGGGCGAGCCCTTGTTTCTGTACTTAGCCGCCTCTTGCAAGGCGGTGAGTTCGGTGTTGGTCCGAGAGGAAGAGCGAGTCCAGCACCCGGTTTATTACGTGAGCCGGTCTCTGAAGGCTGCCGAGTCAAGGTATACCGCCTTGGAAAAAATTGTATACGCGTTGGTGATCACCGTGCGCAAGTTGGCGCCCTACTTCTAAGCCCACACCGTCCGAGTACTGACAGACCAACCTCTCGGAAGTGTTTTGCGAAACCCCTCGTCGTCCGGCCGCCTGGTAAAATGGGCTGTAGAACTAACCCAGTATGGGATTGAGTACCAACCCCGGCCTTCCGTAAAAGGGCAAGCCTTAGCCGATTTCTTGGTCGAATGCACGGCGAGCGAGGAAGAGAAGGAACACGCCACGGAGAACTGTTTAGGCGAGTGGTGGGAAATGCATGCGGACGGAGCATCAAGTCGACGACACTGCGGAGGTGGTGTTGTGCTCATCACTCCCGAAGGATTCCGGCTGTATTATGCCCTGAGCTATCTGTTCCAAGCCTCCAACAACGAGGCCGAGTACGAAGCTGTGTTAAATGGCCTCCGACTCGCCAGGGCCTTAGGGGTCGAGAGGTTACGAGTCAAGACTGACTCTAAGTTAGTAGTCGGGCAGATCTCAGGCACATGCGAGGCAAAGAATGCCCGGATGACTCTATATAGAGAGCGCGCGGTTGAGATGTTAAAAGAGTTTGGAGCCTACGAAATAGAGTATATATCTCGAACGGATAACATAGAAGCTGACATATTGTCCAAGATTGCCTTGGAAGGAGTACCGGACCACCTGGTAAAAATCTGTCAAAAAGAGGAGCTAAGTCGACCAAGCGTTGAATAAACACCGCTAAGGATCCAGCAAGTGACTGACGAGGAATGGGACCGAGAGAAAAACCCCGAGATGTTCTGGATAGAAGACATCCGGCGATTCATAGAAAAAGGCGAGTTGCCGGAAGACCCGGGAGTCGCCGCGAGGGTTCGACGAAAGGCCCCCTCTTTTCAAATCATTGATGGGCAATTATATAAACGGTCGTTCGGAGGACCTTTGTTAAGATGTTTGCTCAGGCCCGAGGCCGAGAAAATAATGGACGAAGCCCATAGAGGCATCTGTGCCGCGCACCAGGGCGCCCACACGCTCGCTCGGAAGTTAGTCGTCCAAGGATATTATTGGCCAACCATGATGCGAGACTGTATTGAATGGATATCCAAGTGCGGTGTTTGCCAAGCATTCGCCAAGAAAGACACTCGGCCGGCTACTTTTTACACGCCGGTCACCACCGCCATCCCATTTGCCAAGTGGGGGATTGATTTGCTGGGCCCATTACCAGTCGCTCCCGGAGGCCTGAAGTTCTGTGTCGTAGCTATCGACTACTTCACCAAGTGGGTTGAGGCGGAACCACTGGCTACCATAACCGAGTACCAATGCCGACGCTTTTTGTGGAAAAGGGTGATTTGCCGCTTCGGCCTGCCCGAGCACATCGTCAGCGACAACGGGCGACAGTTCGATTGTCAGGCATTCGCTGACTTCTGCCGCCGGCATGATATCCGCCACACTAAAGTGTCGGTGGCGTACCCGCAGGACAACGGACAAGTCGAGAACGTGAACCGAACGCTAGTGGATGGAATTCGGAAGAAATTGGAAGATATTCGAGGGAATTGGGCGGATGAGCTTGACCGAGTCCTATGGGCTTATCGCACTACCCAACGACGAGCAACGGGAGAGAGTCCGTTCTCCCTCGCGTATGGCTTTGAGGCCAAGGTTCCAATTGAGGTGGTCGAGCCCACTCACCGGGTCCGTACCTATTCAGACACGGAGAACGAAGAGAGTCTTCGAATTGAGAAAAATTTCTTAGAAGAAAAGAGGGAAGCCACGAGTGCGCGAATGGCGGAATACCAACAGGCGGTAAAAAGATATCGCGATCGGCGGATTCGTCCGCGAACCTTCCAGGTCGGCGACCTCGTACTACGGGATCGACAGGCCAGCCAACCCACAGAAGGGGGAAAGCTTGCGATTAAGTGGGAGGGACCATACCGCATCGCCGCGGTTGTCCAAGCTGGGACCTACAAATTGGAAACCATGGAGGGCAAGCCCGTGGATCGAAGTTGGAACGTTATCCACCTGAAGAAGTTCTATCAATAGAAAGGGACAAAACATGTATGGGCCCAAGGGTCCTGAAAGACTTGAATAAAAGTACAAGTTACGGTTAACCACTCCATGGACTCGGCGAGAAAGAGTTAGGAAACAAGGGCCCAGACCCTTAGTCGTTTCCGTGAAAAAGCCAAGAGGAGTCGCCTCGACTGAGGGACTCGGCGAGTATTTAAAGAAACAACGGGGCACTGACCCTAAACGTTTCTGAGAAAGAAAAAGCCTAAGGAGTCGCCTCGACTGAGGGACTCGGCGAGAAAGAGTTAGGAAACAAGGGCCCAGACCCTTAGTCGTTTCCGTGAAAAAGCCAAGAGGAGTCGCCTCGACTGAGGGACTCGGCGAGTATTTAAAGAAACAACGGGGCACTGACCCTAAACGTTTCTGAGAAAGAAAAAGCCTAAGGAGTCGCCTCGACTGAGGGACTCGGCGAGAAGGAGTTAGGAAACAAGGGCCCAGACCCTTAGTCATTTCCGTGGAAAAGCCAAGATGAGTCGCCTCGACTGAGGGACTCGGCAAGTATATAAAGAAACAACGGGGCATTGACCCTAAACGTTTCTGAGAAAGTAAAAGCCTAAGGAGTCGCCTCGACTGAGGGACTCAACGAGAAAGAGTTAGAAAACGAGGGCCCAGATCCTTAGTCGTTTTCGTGGAAAATTCATAAGGAGTCGCCTCGACTGAGGGACTCGGTGAGCAGTTAAAGAAACAAGGTTAAAGAAAAGCGTCGAGGCCAAGATAATACGAAAAGGAAGAGAAAATGGGAATTTTATTAAAGTTAAAAAAGGCCCGAGAAGGAGGCCAGCCTTTACAAAAGGGACTATCCCAAGGGAATAGCCCTAAACTACGGGGGAGGGGGTGTCTACATCAATCCCTTCGACTTGAGCCCCTGCCGTTGGTCCAGTCAGGGGAATAAAAGAAGGGTTCTCAGCCTGGAGAGAGGACTCGGCGAGCACATGAGGTGTTGCAGAAGGAAGAGTCGCCGGGTCAGAGGCTGCCGGAAGAGCTTCCGAGTCCACAGTCGCCAACGGCCCTTCAGTCGCCGGGAGAGCATCTATCACGGGCTTGAGGCCCCAGCCCTCGGGAGTGAAAGAGGGATCGCAGACCAGCAAGGCAGAATGGATTTCCGTCTGCGCCTCGCGAAAGCCGAGGTGATAGTCACGCTCGCCCAAGTCCAGGAGGAACTCGTCACCATCCGGCGTCGACAGCCAATCCTTAGCAATTTCTTTTTGGCGAACCTCAATCGCCGCCTTCACATCCGCCTCGAAGGCAGCTGACTTCTTGTACTCCTCGACAGAGGTCGCAGCAATCGTCGCCACCTTGTCCCCTCCTCCTCCCACTGACGGGTGACCCTCAGCATCTCGGAGTTGTGCACCTCCACCACCTTGAGGTGCTTCGCCTGCTCTTCCAGAAAGGCCTCCTCCGTCTGGCGTAGCTTGAGGGTCATAGACTGCATCTCGGCCCTGTAGTTCTGCAGCCGCTTGCTCATCTCCATCTGGAAGGTGAGGTTCTGCGAAACGGCCACGAGTCAGACAATAAAAGGAAAGAACGAATGAGAAGAGTTAAGTTGGGAACACTTACGCGGTACGACTGGAGCAGCGAGGCCTCGATAATGTACTCATCCCCCAGAGCGTGAGTCGCCGACATGTCCTTAAGCAGGAGGACGTTAGCACACCACTTGCGGACGGAGCAGGCACCCATCCAGATCTGGGCATCCTCTTCTACCTCATGGCACAGCCGGATCCTTTTTGGAGCCGGCTCATCAGTTTGACCGGCCGGACGCTTAGAGCTTGGACTCTCTGTCCGAGGAGGAGGCGGCTGCCGAGTGGGCGACACAACTGGCGACGGAGTCAAATCCACCACATTACGAGGTGGTGGGGGAGTTGACCTTGGGGCAGGAGACGGTTGGGAGGAAGAGGCAGCAGCAGTGCCGGAGGTGCGCTGGGTCAGCCGACGCCTCATCTTTTCGGCTCTATCTACCATCTCTGGAGTCAGTTCAGCCGCTTCGTCGGAGCTAGAGGAGTCGGAGTCGTACGGACCTGCGAAAGGGAGGAAAAGTCACGAAGTGTTTCGAGTCGGAATGTGACAAGATGAGAGAAGAAGAGGAACGAGGGGTAACGAAGACTACCTACGGTGGCTGCACCCTCCGGCAGCAAGCCACACTTAGCCATGGCCCGGACTCGGGACCAGTACTTGACGGAGTACGGCCCAAAGCCCTTCAAGAACTCGCCGCCCAGGACCGCATCATCGGAGGAGACGACACGCCGAGATGATGTTATCACATATTTGCTTGTTATTATAGTTATTTTGAATCATCACAGTGATTAAGTTCTTTAATTTTGTCTCTTTAATACATATTTTCCTTGCTATTATCATTTAATTATGGTTCACACTTGTTTTGAATGTTTTACGGTGTTTGTTAGTGTTTTTGAACCATTCTAGGTCAAAGATATGAGCAAGGGAAGTTCAAGGATGAGTTTTGAGCAATTTTGGACAAGTTCGGGACCCAGAGGACTCGACGCGTCGAAAATTTCCAGTAGCATCAGAAGTCGAGACCATCAGGTCTCGACGCGTCGAGCGAGGCGTGAAGAGAAGCCTTAATCACGACAAAAGGGGCGTTGGCAGCAACTCAACTTCAATTCCATTCAATTCCAAATTTCCAATTCCAACTTTGATTTTATAATTAAATTCTTCCATTTTATTTATTTAAATATAGGAATTATAATTCGAGTCCAATTTTGTACAAGATTCCTATTTCATCTCAACTTTGTACCCACTATAAAATCCCTCCTTCCTCAACCCTAACGAACACCGGAGAGATTTTTAGAGTTCTTTGTAGACAAGAAAGAGAGAAATCAAGAGGCTCAAGTCGTCTTTGGAAGCAAGGAGGAAGCCAGGGAGATTTGGGAGAATCGCTTGGTTAATTCTTGTACTCTTTTGATGATTTGTAATCCTTTATTCATATTTGCTATGTATAATTTAGCCATGCTCGGCTAAATTCCTTAGGGATTTTTGGGTGAATTTGTTTATGAACCTATGTGCCTAGTTCGTTAATTTCTTAATATATTTATGTTTGGTTTTATGATTTGTGTTGCAATCTTGTTTTAATCTGTTGTTGTTGGTGATTAAAGGCCTAAATTACTAGCTTCACAGTCATGTTTGTGTCACCAGTGGGAGTTGGGGCATAAATTAGGGCACACACGATTGCACCTAATGGTTGGTCCTTGGGAAAGGGGAACTAATTAGGGGAAGTTTATTCTAGATTATTGCTCATCGGGAGATGGTAGTAATTAGGAATAATTGAATGCTGATCTTTGATCTTATTGGGTGTTTAAGCCATGGGAGTGGAAATTCACTAGGAATAGAGATTACGGGAGTAATTCGATTCCACTTTGCATTCCCACACAAATCTTAATTCCAAACCAAATATTACAAACGTTAATTGGCACTAGGTGATTAAACATTGTGATCCCAAGAATCCTATTTTGCTCTATTGTTTACAAAACCTTGCTACTTATTTTATTCTACTTGCTATTTTATGCAATTAATCAACCTTCAAGTTTTGTTCGGACTAGTTTCATATGAGTAACCTAGTAGCTAGTGATTAATACACCACCTCTCTGTGGTTCGACAACCCGAATACTCCGGGTATTATTTGTTTGCCCCAAATTACAGTAATCACGAGAGCAAGGCTTGAATAGAGCAGCCGGCCACAAGGTCGGAAAGGTGAAGGAAGAGAAAGCAGGGCGGACGAAGAAGTAGAGGAGCTTCCAGTCCTTAATGGAATCGGACAGCCCCTCGAAAAGCTGCCGCCCCGGGCGAGCGGCAACTTGAACAAAGCCCGGCGAGTGCGAGCCGACCTTGTTCACGGTGAAAAGATACCGGAACAGGTTTAGATCCGGCTCGCATAACCACCAGTGGCAGAGGTTGACGAAGCAAGTAAGGAGTCGGTGAGAATTGGGCACTAATTGGCCCGGAACTAAGTTATAATGGCGGTAAAAAAGGGAAAGGAAAGGACACGGAGGAACTCGGAAGCCAAAGGCAACCGAGTGCAGATGAATGCCGACACAACCCTCGGGGGGGTCGTAAATTTGCCGGCCCTCCGGGGCGAGGACCACGGCTGAAGGCCCAAGAAGGTATTGGGCCATTTCCAGGTCCACCGCATAACAACGGACGGTGGCCCGGAAGGGCGGACGATGGAATCGAACTTGCCCCGCGGCCGTCCGATGCCACCCGGCAGAGCCGCCACCGTCGTTAAAGGAGCGGGGCTCAGTGGAGTAACCGCCCCCGAAGAAGAGAGGGTCGGAGGAAGAGAAGACGTCGATGGAACGTCCGCCGGAAGTTCCATACGACGAAGAGAAGACGTCGATGGAACGTCCGCCGGGAGTTCCATACGACGGGGAGGAGAAGAAGAAGACGAAGAAGGAGAAGAAGAAGAGGGAGAGGTCGCCTCCGGGTTATCAGCCGAGTAACGACGGGAAGAAGAAGAATGTGAGGAAGAAGACATTACCTACGTCAGGAGAGAGATCGGAGGAAGTACAGAGTGGCCGGAGAAGCTCAAAGTTGAAGTTGAGAGGAAAGACTGGGGAAGAGAAGGGAAAGAGAGACGAAATGGCTATTTAAAGGGGAGGAATTTCAAAGGACGGCCACGTGCCACCTTCTCGTTGGAGGAAGTGGAGGTGACGGGATGTGAAGGGACGCCGCATTTAATGCCTCAAAAGGCGGGGCGACGGTTCAGGCCTAGGGTTAGCCTACAGACGGCGCGTCTGCCCTAGGCTAGGGTCGAACGTCAGTGACCCGGCCTGCTAAGCCAGAAGACCGTAGTGGGCCATGGCCTCTGGGCCCACGAGATACGAGCTGGAAGCTTCTAGAACGACCCGGTAGAACTCGGCTCATCGAATGATATCAGCCGAGTTCACGAAGAGACTCCGGTCGCCAGGTCGGCAACCGGACTCGGCAACTCCTTCACCAGGAGGGCCTCGCCATAGCGAGACTAGGAATCAGTTCCATAAACCAGAGGTCGGGCGACAAAATAATAAATGGAGGGTCGGACAGAAAAACACACAGTTTATTTAATTAGTACGGGGATTACAAGGCCCAGAACTCGGCCGATGCGAATTACAAGAGAAAAACGGGTCAAGGCTTGGCTTCTTTCTCTGTCGACGGGCGAGCAGTCGGAGGGCCTTCCAGGAGGTACTGAGAGCGGAAAGGTAGAGGACTCGGCTCGGGCTCAGGCATTTCGTCCAAATATACGGCGGGCTTCCCGTCGTCGATCATTTGCAAGGGCCTCTCCAGAGCGCTCGGCGACATGGCCACACTGAAGAGGGGAGGAGCCTCCCACTTCTCTTCCTCCATTGGTTCTGGATCCTCCACCACAGGCTCCATCTCCACCCCAGGTTCCATCTCCACGTCGATAGGCTCCCTACACATCAGGTCCAGCATGTCTGGAGGCACCACGATGGGGTCTGAAGCCGAGTCGCCCACCAGACGACCTCCGTTAGCCAACCTCTTCTGCCGCAACTGCTCCAGACGAGCATGCTCCTTGTTACGAATGGACCAGCGGCGATCACCATCCCTGTAACTCATAGCGCCGTACCTCCGCAAAGTGGAGAATGTTGCGATTTGCATCAACTGTGAGGGGCCTTTATATAGCCCAGCGAAGGCAAATACCTAGGCGATAATCGCGGAGGAGATTGTAACTGACATAACTGAGCCGGATCAGACGGATGACGCGAATCTCTGTCAGAGATTAGTTCCATCAGATCCGCTCGAGAAGAGCGAGATTCGCACGCCAACGCAGAGAAGATTGGATTCGCCCAAGATACGGGGAATCTTGCAGGTGTCAGACTGAAAAGATTCTGATGACGTGACCGACTCCCTGACCAGTCGTCCGGATGAATACGCAATAGAACACGACAAAACATAAGGCAAGGCGAAAATAGCATTTCTTATTATTATTATTGTAAAAAAGAGCATACAAATGGCAAGGAGCTTATTACAATAAGGAATATGAAAATGCTCCTAAAAGAAATTCCTCCGAACTATGGCCGACTCCGGTACATACGATCACTCGCCAGGCGAGGAGGAGTCGCCCCCAAAGAACCCCCCCCCCCCCCCCCCGATGGTCCAGGCGGGGATGAACAGAACGAGTCCCAGAAAGCTGGCATGAGTGGTGGCGCAATTGGCTCCTCATCATCCGGATACTCCTCCAGGTAGCGAGCGCAATCCTCATCGTTCATCAGGCCCGTAACCGGCCCGTCCAGGTCGTCCAGCGGAATTGAGAAGGTCATTCTGAAAGTAAGTTGCTCTGGAACCGCCACCTCAACAAAGGACCCATCTTGAGAAGTCACTCGGGCAGTCGTGGGAGTAGGCGGATGGCGCGAAGGCAGAGCGACCTCGCGACGAGTAGGAGTCGGCGGCTGAGAAGCTGAAGACGTAGCGCCGGCAGGAGACCTCTGAGGGGCTGGGCGGGGAGTCTTCTTTTTGTGTTCCCGTTCAGGCCGAGTCCGCTTGGAGGGCAGCGGACGCCAAGGAGACCCGAAGTCAATCCGCTTTCCTTTCAGAGGAGAACGACCCATGATGGACTTGTGAAGGTAAGAGAGAAGGGAGGATGCCATTTATAGGTGCAAGGTTTAGATAGAAGAATCCAAACAGCCCCGCGAGATCCGGAGAGAATGGCTGAGGATCCGGACGTTACCGAAGGCTATTCAAGGCGTGGATACGGTGATTGAAGGAGATGGACAGTTGCTACTTTTCCAAACCCAGGCTAGCGGACCGGGTGTGGAAAAGTGAGGGACTAGTTGATGGGGTAAGGACCCCGGCCCAAGAGATAGGGGCCCAAAGAAAATAGATAGGAGAAGTGGGCCAGCGTAAAGAGGAGTCCGAAAAGCAATTGGGCCGAGTCCGGGAGCCGGCCCAGGCCCAAGCACGGGGCCCGGTTCAGAGTTGCTAAAGAGGAGCCCAGTGGGAGCTTAGGCCGAGACGAGGAGTCGACCGAGGCCCAAGTCCAGGGAAAGACTCGGTTCAAGGAGCCGTTGAGAGCATTGAAGAGGCTCGTTTAAACGGGAGCCGTTAGGGCATTGAAAGCAGGACTCGGTCGGGCTGTTACAAGCCTGGAAGAGCCGTTGGTCGACCGAGTAATGGCGTCCAACGGCTCCATATCTTAATTAGCCTTGAAGTCGACCATTAAGGGCCTTCAAGTCGGTAGAGGAAGAGCCACTATATAAAGGCTCCTCCATTCTTGTAAAAGACAGACGATTGAATATCCGGAGAGGGGAGAATACCAGAGAGTTTCCGAGTACTAGCACTATTTCCGAGATAGGCATACATTTTTATAAAGGTGTATCCTCCGGCCAAAGGTTGTGTTGGACCTCCTTGGGCCTGAAAACCCTAAAACCATCACATTATGTGGGCTAATAGAAATGACAAATATATATATATATATATATATATATATATATATATATATATACACACACACACACACAAATAAATCTGGGTGGGATGAGGACAAGTCAGAAACTGTAGCTGCTTCATGGTTGCATGCATGATTAGAATCTGCTTTTTAGGGACCAAACTAAAGAGGATGTTTTTGAATCTATAATTATTATTATTATTATTATTATTATTATTATTATTATTATTATTATTATTATTATTATTATTATTACAACTACGTCGTACTGGGTAGGTTGATACTTGTACAAATTAAACCGAGATATATTTGGGTTGTTGGAATATAATAGAAGAAAGCATAAACCCATCAATCATTCAACTTGCTTTACTTCATTCTACTGTGCCCCTGAAAGCTCCAATTCAGAAAAAATATGCTTTTCTTGGAAGGAATAATATAATTACATATGTTGTCATATGTGTCTTTCTTCTTCAATTCCCAGATCCAAATAATTATTACAGCACCACCCGGCCAGGGTATAAGTCTATAGCTAGCTCGTGACCCATATCATATTTTATAAGAGTGTTTGGTAAATGACAGTTAGTTGATAGCTATTAGCTAATTAGATTAGCGAGTTTAACTAGTTGATAGCATTAGTTGATTGTAAAAAAGTATTTGATAAATTAGTTGTTAATTGTTAGCTAATTACATACAAAATTACTTTCTCAAAAAGCTAATTAAGTTTGAATTTTAATATTTTAAAACAATAAGTTGTTACAAAAAACTAATTAATCAAACACTTATGTTGATTGTTTTATACTAATAATGATCAAATAAATTAAAATTAACTAATAAACTAACTATTTTACCAAATAATACCTATATATTTTGTTCACCTCGTATAGTACTACAATTTAAGCATGCATGCAGCAAGTGGTTGTGGCAGCCCAGTGTTGAATTGTAGGAGAATAGCCGTTGGGTTTTAAGTACCCCTACTCCTACTCCTAGCTAGGCCCTGTAGAGGTGTCGTCACAGACCAGTGTTCAATTGTCAGATAATTAGCGTACGACAAAACCTAAAATGCGACGAATAATTTAATTTACATTTTCTTTCTTTGTGTTTCTCTGGAAGAAAACAAGAAGAATCAAATTCAAAACTTTTAACTTGTATAAGAATCATATTTTATATACTTAGTCATTCTTTTGGAGCAGATTATTTATAGTTTTAGTACTAGGGTGTCATGCGCTTTAAATGCAGTAGAACCTTGCAATATATAATGCACGCACGCAGCAGAGAAACATTTTAGATACTAGCTTCTCTTTCTTCTTTTTTTCAATATATTGACACTATAAGCAGAAAGAAACAAAGTGTGATGGCATGTTTATGGTTAAAATGGGCGAGCATAGCTGTTTTACAACTCTACTTTTGGTTGAAGATGGTTGAGTCTTCTTCTTCTTCTTCTTCTTCTTCTTCTTCTTCTTCTTCTGTGTTAGCGGCTGACAGAATTACCCCTGGGTTGCCCGGTCAACCCCAAGTGTGCTTCAGCCACTACTCTGGGTATGTCACCATTGATGAAGAGGAGGAGCATCAAAGAGCTCTCTTTTACTACTTCGTTGAAGCTGAAGTTGATCCTTCTTCCAAGCCTCTGGTCCTCTGGTTAAATGGAGGTCTGCACTCTGCAATATATATAATTTGCTCTTTCTGCTTCTCACTCTTTATTATGTTTCAAGGTTTTAATTTTGGAGTGTGAAAATGATAGGGCCTGGTTGTTCTTCTCTGGGGGTTGGGGCATTCTCTGAAAATGGACCATTCAGGCCAAGTGGGAATGTTTTAGTCAAAAATGAATATAGCTGGAATACAGGTTGGTATTATATTGGAATCCAAATCCTAGAATAATATCCCAGAATATAATGTATGTTTTCTTTTCTGGTGTTAATAATGTATTCATATCAAATTTGGCCGCAGAAGCTAATATGCTGTATCTGGAATCACCAATTGGAGTTGGATTCTCCTACTCCACTAATTCTTCCTCTTATGAGGGCATAAATGACAACATCACAGGTTTTTCTTTTTCTTGAATCTTTGATTTCAAAGTAGTCAATCAAAGTATCTACATTTTCCAGTGCAGTCATGGCTCTATATATCAACTAGAAATCAACTTTTTTATGTTCTTTTTGAAATGTTTCCTTTTTCCAAAGATGAGAGAGTAGTATTGTGTAAGCTTCCACTTTACTGTTACTTTTTGTTTTGTAGATTCCCCTTTCACTACACTCACTGCAACTTTTGTCTGTTTCTTTATGTCTTTGCTTCTATGCTAACAGCTATGGACAATTTGGTTTTCTTGCAAAAATGGTATCTGAAATTCCCACAGTACAGAAACACAAGTCTGTTTATTGCTGGAGAAAGCTATGCAGGTAGGTACCAAAGTTGTTAAAAACAAAAAGAGTCAAGACAGAAAGACAGAACAACACTTGAACATACATGACAACATTTGTTTCTAATTTGTGAGCAGGCCACTATGTTCCTCAGCTTGCACAGATGTTGCTGCAATCCAACGAAAAGGAGAAGCTGTTCAATTTGAAAGGAATTGCGGTGAGGGCTAACACCATTCGAAACAAACACTTAGACATAAATTTTGTTTGCCTAAACTATATATTATTGCCTGCCTGCAGCTTGGAAATCCGGTACTAGAATTCGCTACTGATTTCAACTCGAGGGCCGAGTATTTCTGGTCTCATGGACTGATTTCAGATACTACGTACAAACTGTTCACCTCCGCTTGCAACTACTCTCGCTATGTGAGCGAATACTACAGAGGCTCTCTGTCCCCGGTTTGTGCAAGAGTAATGAGCATTGTTAGTAGGGAAACAAGTAGGTTTGTCGACAAGTATGATGTCACTCTTGATGTCTGTATATCATCTGTCTTCTCCCAATCTAAAGTCCTCAACCCTCAGGTAGCTAGGTTCAATCATTCATTTTTCGGTTGAATTTTCATCTCTGGCTGGTTTGATGATGATTTTTGTGCAGCATGTCAGGGAGACCATAGATGTTTGTGTCGAAGATGAAACTGTGAATTACTTGAACAGACGAGATGTTCAGAACGCAATGCATGCACGTCTGGTTGGAGTTAACAAATGGCTTGTCTGCAGCGAGTAATATAATCATCTTTCCTTCCTATTCAAATCCCAGTGTTTAGCTATGCTTTCTTATGCTTGTATATATTTCCGCGGATGATCAGTGTTTTGGACTATGAGCTGCTTGATATTGAGATACCAACAATCAAGATTGTGGGAAGCATCATCAAGGCAGGAATACCTGTCTTGGTTTACAGGTACTATATATATATTGTTTCAGGAATTAGATGAAACTCCATTGATTGTATACACTGCTTTCTGGTAACAGTGGAGATCAGGATTCTGTAATTCCACTCACTGGAACTCGGAAATTGGTTCATGGACTGGCAGAAGAGTTAGGGTTGAGCACAAGTACACCATACAGAGTCTGGTTTGCAGGGATGCAGGTAATTCCTTGTTTTAATATGATGTTTAATCGCTCAACCTTGTGACCCTAGCTGGCAAAGGACTACTACAAAGACAGTAATCTCGCTTAGCTAACTGCCTCAAACCAAAAAGGCCAATAGGCCGCTCCTGCTAGGACCTGAGAGTCAAACTTGTAACCTTGTGACGTTGTTTTCAGGTCGGTGGGTGGACACAAGTGTATGGCGACATGCTTTCGTTTGCCACAATAAGAGGGGCATCCCATGAAGCTCCATTCTCACAGCCAGAGAGATCATTGGTGTTATTCAAGTCATTCTTGGAAGGCAGCCCTTTGCCAGAAGCATTCTGAGGAGCATAGAGACTTCAAATTGTACATCTTGATAGGTATAAAGATGTTAATATTTTGGGAATGGAAGTTTGCATTTTCTCCTTTTGTTGTATAAACCAAATCATAGCTGAAAGAATTTCTTTTTGGTTGGTTTGTGTATTTGACATGCCTAAACAGTGCATAAAACTGAGATGAACAAATCAGTCAGTCAGTCATTCTTGACATTCAAACAATCAATCAATGACTTCTTGATGAGCACATAGAAACAACAGTAGGAGCTTCAACTTTCATTTTCAGACAACTAAACTGTAAAGCTAGAATTGGTTTTGAAAGCAACACAGATATGCTGAGGTTTCTCTTATTTGGAGCAACTTCTTGTTCAATTATTGAACTTTGGTTTTGGCATTCACAACTTTCCTTCTCTGCCTTCAATGTAGATGGGCCTGAAACTTTTGCCGGCGCCACTTTCCGCACCCTATAATCACACCAACATCTGTTAAAAATTCATTACAAACAGGGGGCGGCATACATTTTTGAATAAGAAAAGAACCTGCACTCAATCTGGCAAGAGTACTTGAGAAGATTGGGATTATGTTTGGTGCGACCGCTGCAATTTCAGAGGAAGAAATCAGTCTTCAGCTAAATCTTTACACAAAAACTTATGAACCCAAAAGTAGAAATAACAACAATAATCTTTAAGTTCACCTAAAACTAGGGAGCGACATTTTGATGAGCGGGCCCATCCACTCCTCCTTCGAAGGTAGCTTACGAGCTGCCATGTTCAAAGTGGACATTCAAAAGCATTGTCAATCCCTAATACTTTTGCTTTGACAATAATCAGAACAAATCTTAGAACTCAGCAAATATTGTAGGTAGGTGAAATATTACGAAAGAACTTACCTGGAGTGAGTATGTTGATATTGCACATATCCATTGCTCTCGGACCCTTGATCTCGGCTACTTTTATGTCCAAGAAATCATTAGGAGGAGTAGAGGGGAATGAACTCAACCCAATCATGCTTAGGAAGTGATTGCCTTTATTTGATGTCTTTGGAATCGGTTCCATTCTCTGTTTAACATAACGATTGAAGCATGAACTTAAAAGATACAAAATCCTTTCTTCTCAAGATCAAAGTGCATCTCTAAACCACCAAGTAATTTTATCATGGCTCGGTTGATTCCATAGATGTGCGAAATCTAGAGTGCATCAATTACAGAATTATGGTCAATGGTATATCTAAGCTGAAGTGTACCGTACCTTTGAAAATCTGGCTACTTGGCTTGGAAGTCCAACATCCTGAGAATAGCAACATGGGGGAATCATGTTAGGAGATTCCTATGTAATTAATGATAATCCATTTAATTTTCTAAGCAACAATGCGTACCTTTCGTCCATGCATGCATGCCTCATCGCTGTTCACCAGCACCCTGGCAGCCCATCTGTTTGTTGGCAGAGAAATACAATTTGCTAGTTACTCATTTAATTCCCGATTATATGTCTAAAATGCTGATTATCACGATAATGTATAAATTAAATTAACCTATGCTTAAATTTATTTACCACAGCTGCAAATATTCAGTTGAGGAGACTACTGGCAACCTATGGCCACAGTTTAGTTGACATTTCTTAGTTTCAAGTCTGATACATTCTAAATATCAGATGCTTATACAAGTAGGTCAAGATTCTTATGATAAAATATTAAATAAATCTAGAAAACAAATTTTAAAAGCATTACCAAATGAAAACTCCATTATTAAATTGCATGGCACATCAATCTATAATTATTTATAGGAAAATGCAGACCCCCATGGGCACTCATTAGGGAGAACAGCTTCCACTCATCTTCCTCCCCCTACCCCCAACCACCCCTCTTAGTACTCGAGTCCATGAATCTGGACTGGCAGTTCAAACTTGTAAAGACAGACAGACGTTCAAGGTGGCCAAAGTGTTTCTCGAGAATATATACTAAGTGTGCATAAATACATACTCGGAAAAAAGATTCATTGTATGTGTGAGTTAACAGGATTAATGGCTTGAGAAGGACTTACGCGCAAGACGTAGGTGGGTTCCACACAATTCCCGCAAGTACCACAAGCTGAACAATTTGACATTAGAATAACAAGATTAGTGTTACTAGTTGACATTAAATAAGCATAAAGGAGCATTCTTTTATTCCCTCTGTCCAGAGACTTAAAGGAGCATGTTCCAAGACACTGGCAATTGCCCATTTTAAAAAACCAAAATTAATCCTTAAATTGGAACTCGTTAAAGATCTAGCATTGTTACTGAAAAAGAATCATTTTAACTTGATGAAATTAAAAATTAGAATAAACTACCTCGTCAAAAGTTCCAGCAGGACTGTCATCATAACTAGCAAGGAAGAATCCACCTAGAGTATATCTGCATGTAGAATAACACCTACATTTTAAATTTATGAAGATTAAAAAAATCATGACCTCTTTCTTAGCTTACTCCAGCGCTTTAATCATCAGTTTCATAACACAGTTATCAAATGACTCTTCAGCCATGCCAAAAGTATGAATACCCGAAAGCCTCAACTAATCTGAACTCTTTAGGAATGAAAGCTCGAGCTGTCTTCGATTTGACAAGATGTAGTTGGTACAAAGCACTGAAACATTTTTAAAAAATGGTTAATAAACGTCCACTGTATTCGTCTGTCTAATGTGGGCAATATAATAGGAAGAGCGCAAGTATATAATTGCAGTATCCTAAGAATTTATCGAACACCACTTGCCTGCCCGTGAATATCCATGGAGGGTTGCCATATCCAGCCGAAGAACCTGTTTGTTTAGTTCCCATGGGCTTGAGTATGGAACAGTAGTATACTAAATCCTAAACGGAGCTGCAAAAAAACAGTTGATCTTGAGTAAAACGTCGTCAAACAGCCAAGAAACAAACAAAAGGGCTTTCTTTGGCCTTCCATTGTAAAGGATATACATATATATATTAGGGGCTGGAATCTTATCCATGTTCATATAATCAATCTAAACAGCTAAACAGGAAACCGGTGTCTAGACAATACCAGTTAACTGTTTTATAGACCTGTGGGTCACTAAGCACTAAAGCAGAGGGGGCATGTGCATAGACAGTTCCAAAACAATTAAGCAGGATACATGTAACCAACTCTGTGCAAGTTGTGCAACTTGCAATCAATCCAGATTTTTACATCATCACCTAAGTACAAAAAGTTGCTTTTTTTTTTGGTTGCATATAAAGAACATGATTGGCCAACCCAATCTAACAAGAAAACCAGACACAACGAACAAAGCAAAACTACTGAAAAGATGTCCCAAAGCAGATTCAAGATTGAAGCCCTGAGGCTGTTCTTCAAGAATTGATGCCTGGCACTCTGGCAGGCAGGCCCCACATAGGCTTCACTAACAAGTAACTTTACCTGCTTCATATTTCCATTCTATTTTGAAGGTTGGCAAGTATATGCCAGCCATATCAATCAATTAACAACCAATTCAAGCAAATATTTTCAAATAAAAACCAAAGCCAAACAAGTACTACTCGAAGAAACAAAAAGAAGCACACTCAAAGCAGAAAAGAAATTATGCAGAAATCCCTCCTACATTGGGTATTTAGCCCATTCCACTTGAGAAGTCAGGGAGGGTATATGCAAAGTTGTTAATTCAGCACAGACAGAAGCGATATGATGAAGAATGAATGATATGGCAAAAAACAAAAAAAAACAAAAAAAAAAAAACAAAAAAAAAAAAACAGTAAAGGGAGGTGGTTTGAACTTACAAAGATTGAATTTTGGAGCTAAAAAGTGCAAGAATTTGGAAGAAAACCTAAGCAGAGAGCATCCTGGCTTGAGGAGAGAGGTATGTAGGAGGGGACCGACAGACATATCACCTATGGGCTATGGAGCTGAAGTTAATGAAAGACGTACGTTTACGTTACATCACCACCAAAATCAAATAAGTGGATAAACTAAAACTGCTCCAACTGATCGACTTTCTCATATAATATAATACTCCTCAGCTCCTTCATTAATTTATCTATCCTCTCACGGTTTTACCGGCGTACAGCAAAACCACACCATTCGCATCTCATCTCACACTGCTTTTAATTTGTCATCTTCTTTAAAATCCCTTTATTTTATTAGTCCAGTACTGCCCCGGCCCCGCCTGCTCAAATCTCCTATTTCTCTCAACTCTCAAATAAACCTCATCTTATCTTTTATGGGATTGGTAAAAGTGTAAAACCAAGAAAGCCTGAGAGAAAAGAAAATGTTTGGGAAATGGCGGTTAAGTTAAATTTTGGCTCATTTGATTATGTTTTGTTAATTTGATTAGTAATAACTTACTTTAAATGTTTGGTAAAATAATTTATTGAGACAATTTGAAAAACTAAGAATAGTAAAAAAAAAAAAAGAATTGTTAATTTATCGACATTAATAATAAAATGAACATTTTATTCTTATCATCCCTAATATTTATATTTCTCTTGCTTTTCATGTGTTTTTTTTTTCTTTTTGTTTATATAACAACAATAATAATATTTTTCTTTCTTTTTGATTTCACTTATTCTTGTAATCAATAATTATAAAAGTAATTTAAAGATTAAGAAATTTGCACAATATATTTAATTATACAATCAATTAAAAATAAATAATTAATTTCTCAAACACTTTTTTACAACTAACTAATATTATTAACTGGTCAAATCAACTAACTCAATTAAGTATCAATTATGAGCTAACTTAATGAAGTATAAATTATTAGGTAACCACCATTTGTCAAATACCCCAAAATATTTATGCACGACAACCCACTAACTAAATTAAGAGCTCGAAAAACATGGTGTATATTTTCTTGTAGGACCAACAGATAACAAAAGTGGATCAAAAGATCATAAACAAATGAAAAGAAAACAAGATAAAATGCTTGGTAAGTAATTACTACCCAACAAAAAGAGTCACCTTTTATTTTTTAAACCAAAGGCAAAAATTATTAATATATTATTAGAGTTGAGTTTGGTGGCAAATTAAACAATTTGATTGTTATTTCTAATATATGATGATTTGTATGGTTTCAATTCAAATTATCAATAACATACTTTGTTGGCAAATTTTACGAGTATGATGTATATGTCATTTTAATTACACTTTAATTTCATTTGACAATATTGTTTTGTTTTTTATTTTTATTTTTATTTTTCCTCTATACTAGTTTCGTTATAACAATACTAAAGTATCATTTTAATTCTACTATAGTTTTATTTGATAGTATACATTATTGCTTGATCTCTATTTTTTGTTTCATTTTTCACATACACACTAGTCTAATTATAGTAATGTTGAATATTATTTTAATTGCATTTCAGGTCATTTGACAATATATGTTATTGTATAGTTTGGGATTTAGTTTCATTTTTCACACATACTAGTTTCATTATAGTAATATTAAAATATCATTTTAATTCCTTTCAGACAAAAGTATCATTATACTACAATTTCATTTGAAAATAATATACTCCGTTTTTCAGTTTCATTTTTTACACACACTAATTTCATTATAGTAATACTAAAGTATTATTTTAATTCTACTATATTTTTATAAAATGATCATGGTACACCCAACGATATGTGGACCAATGGTCCACACTTGATACTTTGTGGACTTGTCGTCATATGATTACATAATAAGTTTTTTTTTTTTTTGTGAGAAAAATGATTACGTAATAAGTTAGTAATCTTTTTTTTTGAAAATTACTGGCTCTATTACATTGTAGTATCTGTTCATATACTTTCTCAACCTACTGAAACACAAAGAACCAATAACGCCTCCACTGAGGCTTGAACTCATAATCTTCCAAATGGAAGTCCAACCCGGGTACTATTAGACCACATAGTCCTGATTAATAAGTTAGTAATCTAAAATTATGAAATCTTATTACCACTGTTGTTGACTTGTTGGATATTACCATTGTTGTTGACTTAGCTCGTTGGGTAATACTGTCTTTGATCATATCAATTGTGTTGATCTAGATTTGTTGGATGGTAAGATGGGTTGAAAAAATTAGCATAAAATGACATTTATAGTTAAGTTTTTTTGTGGCTTAAACCCAATACATCTAGTTAAGTTGAAAAAGATTCGTTAATTTATCCACATCAATCACACGAGTCATTAGTCAGATATGTTTAATTTGATATATTATATATTCAAAACGGATAATTAACCAATGAGAAAATAGCATTTATGACACTAGTCAAGGACTTTGTAATCCAATGACATCAAGTTACTCACTCAAGTGGAAGGTTGTGGGATCGAGTCTCAGTGGAGGCCAGGCGAAAACATCTATAATAATTATTATGTCATTGGAGAAATAAAACTTTTAAAGAATTTTAAGTAACATTTATCTCACACTTAAAAAAGTAAGTGTGTATGTCCCTCTCTCTCTCTATATATATATATATATATATATATATATATATATATATATATATATATATATTGAATCCAGTGCACCCCCTATTCAGGTGAGTTCGTGAGATTCAATCCTGAGCATTCGTTTTGTTATTTTAATGGTTTAGATTTATCAATTGTTTTAAGTAATACGCGCTGTTTTTTAACCTGCTGAGGGGTGTTTGGGTAATTTCGTATTGGCATTAATTTGTTTCCATTTACACACCGTGAATTTTCTTTCTTTCATTATTTCCTATGTATCGAGATTCCCAAATTCTTCCGATTTCCTCTCGTTCTCATCGCCTCCTCCCGTCCCTCTGTCTCTCTGAACAACCAATCTTCGAACCAATCTCTAAAGCCGTTTCCTCGATCGGATTCTCCATAGCTTGGTTTTCCATCCGATTGTCAAAGCGTCGGAAGAGGGAGGCTACCGGTGGTGTTTAAGGTATTCCTAAGTCTTTTTTTTATTCGTATTTTTGTTTCTATCATTTTTTCGAAGATTAGTTCGACGGTGGTCGGTGGCAACTAGGGTTTTCGCATTCCGACGAGGCGGGCTAGGTTTTTGGTTGGAGACAGTTTTTTTTTTTTTTAATTGTAAACAGGGTGTTGGTTTGGTAGTGGGAGAGGATGTGTGTTTGTTCTGGCGTGGGGGGTATGATGTGATTAGAGTTAACGAGATTCAGAAGTTTTTGGACATCTCTTCGGTTCAGACCTACATTATCAACAGCGCTAAAGTTGTGTTCTTGAATGAACGGCCGCAGCCCAGGCCGGGAAGGGCGTCACCAATACCTGTGAGGTCTGTGAGCAGCTTCCTTGATTCCTTCCGCTTCTGCTCTCTCGGTTGCAAGGTATTCTTATTTACTGCATTTTTTCTAACGATTTTCTTGCTTTTAATCCGGGAAAAAAATCTAAATAACCCCACATGATTGATTGGAGTATCTTGCCATCTTCAATTCTCTTCTTCTTCTTCTTCTTCTTCTTCTTTGTGTCCTCTTTCTGGTAGGCGCCGACGGATTAGTCTGGCATATTATTGGCTTATTAAAGCAGCCATGCTCCTGGGGGACCCCTCCATTCATCTTCTTTGGCTAGGCATAACTGTTGTTGTTTCAATCTTTCTGGGTTTGGGTTCTTGGTAATAATAGCAGTTTTACTTCTTTCTTCTGTTGTGATTACCTGTAGTGGCGCCTTCAATAAATTTGACCGTGAGGCTTTGGTGTCCTTCTCCCTTAACATCTCCAGTTCATCTTCTCCCTTAGATTGGCCCAATTCAAGTGAGTGCTGTGACTGGAGGGGTGGGGTGTGATGGAAATGGGAGAGTGACACGGCTATGGCTGCCATCCAGGGACCTTGTTAGAAGCATTGCTCTTGCAGTGGCAAACCTCACCGGTCTCTCCCAACTCAACCTGTCAAATAATAGGCTGTCTCGGTGCAATGTTGTTGATTATTTTTGGTCCTTTTGGTGTAGGGGTAGGAAGCTGGATGTTTTTTATTACTATTTTTGGTGTGTGCCTGCTCGGGTTTTAGTTCATTGGTATGGACGTAGCAAAGGCGTGTGAGTGTGCATTGGTAGGCTTTAGTTTGTGCTTATTGCGTGTGTCACTCTATCTATTATGAACTGCGTTTTTTAGCTTCTTCGGTCTGCTTGTGATTGGTTTAATTCTCTTTGTTTTTGGTGTTATTTTAAGTATGTTTGCATTTTTAGTGGTTATTATATATTGTAAGTATATTCATTATGCCATTTGCAGGTGATGGTGTTCCTGAGCCCGTTTGTGTAGCTGATCCGGTGGCACCTTTGCCACATCCGAAACAGTTGGAGTGGCGAAGAACCCGAACGGCGATGAATTTGCCACAACCTGAAGCAGTTGAAGTGCCCCAAGCCCCGATCACCCGGCGCCCGATGTGGGTGGGTCAATGCGTATCTCTGCCTCAGAGTGTGCTTGGTTTTGTAATGTAATACTTGGTTTTGTAATGTAGTGCAGTGTGTTATTTAAATGTTCAATATTGTACAAATTGCATATCAATGATTCACCATAGTAGGTATACTTTGATTTATGATCCATTCTTGTGTAATTTAGAATGTGTTACTTCTTTAAATTTTTCATATGTCATAGCTTATTCATAGATTATTATATCGTTTGTGCATATAGAGGGTCTGGTATGTGCACATTGATATTCAGTGTGTTATAAACATGTTTTTTGTATTAAATAATACCACGGTGTTTTTAGTCATTGGTATGTGCGTAGCAAAGGGCGTGAGTGCAGTGAAAGGATTTAGTTAAATAATACCATGGTGTTTTTAGGGTAATTGGTATGTGCGTAGCTGGCGCGTGTTAGTGTGCATTTCCGGTCTGTGCGTGTGTGTATATAGATTGTGCGTAATACGCTTTCGGTACATAAACAATGCCAATTTTCCCTAAGAGCTATACATGCGATATGCACAGACCTATATCCTCATACGCACTTTACACTGTAACTTTCATCAATACAGTGATATTAGTTGTACTCACCGTGCTTACCCTCCCACACTGTTCCAGTTCTTTAAAAAATTCGATCAAACCATAAATTCAACATTATAACATTCTACGCACATACTATTTGCTGTCTACACATCATCCCGCCATCCTATCGGTCAAACAAATAACCATGTACGCACCCACCTGAACACGAACACGCTACGC